TTGAGCTTTAATATGCTGACAACTGCACCAACCTTGCATACAGTGAGGGAAACCTCCAGACCATGCTGAATCTCTTTGCAGAATCCTGCCAAACTTTGGGCCTCTCTCTCAACACTGAGAAGACTAAAGTGTTCTATCCATCTGCTCCAGGCCAGGGACATGACCTCTCCTCCTTAACATATCATTGAGCAAAAGACCCTAGAGGTAGTAGAGAACTTCCCATATCTTGGTAACCATTTCTGTCAGAAAGAGAACATTGATGAGGAGGTCCAGAACAGGATCCAGCACACAAACACTTCTTTTGGGAAATTGTTGTGTTTTTATTGATTGCAATCTCTAGAAAGACATCAAGATCCAGGACTACAATACAGTCCTCATCCCCTCTACAGATATGAAATGTGGGTGAGCTACTATCATCTTCTCAAGAGTCTGGAGATGTATCAGCAATGATGCCTTCAGAAAATCCTCCACATCAAATGGGAAGATTACCACACAAATGCCAGAATCCTTGCTGAAGCCAGTGTTATCAGCATTAAGTCTGTGATCTTCAAGCATCAATTTTGCTGGAGTGGTCATTGTGTAGGAATGCCTGACTCACAACTCCCCAAACACGTGCTCTATTCCCAGCATAGTTGTACACTGAGATCTCATGGTGGCCAGAGGAAATGCTACAAGGACACATTAAAAGCATACATCAGGAAAATGGGTGCTAACATCAATAATTGGGAGGAACTGTCTGCTAACCAACTCCAGTGGTGCCACAACTTCAACCAAGCAACAGCCCATGTCAAAGTAAATTGTCTTACACTCGAAGTAGAAAGGAGAGAGCAGAGGAAGGAAAAGGAGATAAATTCCAGCCTATGGCCTACTCTCCCCTGGGAGAAAACCTGCAATTTCTGTAGATGGATCTGTGGCTCAAGGATTGGACTCTTAAGTCATCTTAAGACCTATCAACAACCCACAGTAGAGATCATTTTCAAATAAAGGGATTCCCAACAATGACTGTTAAGACCTCATGCAAGATTCTGTGTGGATTCTGGTGACCCCTGCTCTGGAAATTTGAACTCAAACTAGAAGAGTTGCAGAGAAGGCCTACTAAAGTATCCTTAGAAAATAGTTTATCATGGTAAATATATTTACTCATGGTGCTCTGGTGTGGTGCCAGAGGACTGGAAAAGGGCCAATGTGGTTCCCATTTTCAAAAAAGGGAGGAAGGAGGACCCAGGGAACTATAGGCTAGTTAGTCTTGCCTCGAACCTGGGTAAGCTTTTTGAGAGAATTATCCTGGCGCATGTCCATGAGGGGCCAGCAGGGGAGCTTATGCTTAGGGGCAACCAGCATGGGTTCATTAGAGGCAGGTCCTGTCAGACCAACCTGGTGGCCTTCTATGACCAGGTCACAAAAGCCTTAGACACAGGGGTAGCAGTAGACGTAGTCTTTCTAGACTTCAGGAAGGCCTTTGACACTGCCTCCCACCCCATTCTCATTAAAAAACTAGGGGACTGTGGTGTTGACATCTACACTGTAAATGGGTCACTAACTGGCTGGAGGGCTGCATCCAGAGAGTGGAGGTGGATGGGTCATTTTTGACCTGGAGGGATGTCGGCAGTGGGGCCCCCCAGGACTCGGTCCTCAGACCCGCGCTGTTCAACATCTTCATCAGTGACTTGGACAAGGGAGTAAAAAGCACCCTATTCAGATTTGCTGATGACACTAAGATATGGGAGGATGTGGGCACACTAGAAGGGAGGAATAGGCTGGAATTGGACCTGGACAGGTTACAGGGTGGGCAGATGAGAACAGGATGGGTTTCAACACTGACAAGTGCAAGGTGCTGCACCTGGGGAGGAAGAACCAGCAGCATACCTACAGGCTCGGGAACTCCCTTCTCATCAGTGCAGAGGCAGAAAAGGATCTTGGAATCATTATTGATGCCAAAATGAACATGGGCTGACAGTGTGGGGACATGGTCAGGAAGGCTAACCACACCTTGTCATGCATCCACAGATGCATCTCAAGCAGGTCCAAGGAGGTGATCCTCCCTCTCTATGAGGCATTGGTCAGGCCGCAGTTGGAGTACTGCATCCAGTTCTGGGCGCCGCACTTCAGGAGGGATGTGGACAGCATTGAGAGGGTCCAGAGGAGGGCCACCTGCATGATCAGGGGGCAGCAGGGCAGGCCCTACGAGGAGAGGCTAAGGGACCTGAACCTGTTCAGCCTCCACAAGAGAAGGCTGAGGGGGGATCTAGTGGCCGTTTGCAAACTAGTCAGAGGGGACCAGCAGGCACTGGGGGAGTCCCTGTTCCCCCGAACACTCCTAAGAGTGACAAGAAATAACGGTCACAAGCTGGCAGAGGGTAGATTCAGGCTAGACATCAGGAGGCACTACTTCACAGTCAGGGCAGCTAGGATCTGGAACCAACTTCCAAGCGAAGTGGTGCTGGCTCCTACCCTGGGAGTCTTTAAGAGGAGGTTAGACGAACACCTTGCTGGGGTCATTTGACCCCAGTACTCTTTCCTGCCATGGCAGGGGGTTGGATTTGAAGATCTGCTCAGGTCCCTTCCGACCCTACAAACTATGAAACTATGAAAACTGTTGTACTTGTGCAACAGCTACACCTAAATAAAGTTATTTTAAGGAGGTTCAGGACAGAAACAAGATTTACTGGATACACGCAGTGCTTCCACTAAACACTAAGACCTAATGGCTAAACTTTCAGAAAAACCCTATATATAATTGTGCCACCTAGTGAGTAGGAATAACATGACACTTTCTAGAATACCTTGCTAAATGTAATGAATAATTTATGGTGAGAGAAATAGACCAGAGACAAGAGCTTTCCTTTTATTTAACTAGGTGTAGAACTCCTGCACCATTTTCAGTCACAGGCAGCACTCACTGAAGTCTGTTAATTTAGTAGGGATTTCCACCATTTTGTCAATGTGAAAGAGCCCATGTGTTGTACCTCTGGTTGAAATCATCGATTTGAAGACTTTCAACAGGATTCTGTGTTCACAAGCAGGACCTATCTACTCTTCAGCTTCACTTAGTTTGGATAGGCTGCAAAACTGTCTTTCTTTGGCATTTCTTAGACACACTTAAAATCTCTATCCATTATATTTTCATGAAAACTTATGGTTCAGTTGTTCATAGCCCCATGACCATTTTGGGCTCCCTAAAACATCCTCTGCTTAATCACACAATTTCCCATTGTGGCACTATGGTTTACAGTTCACCTCTCCAGTGACACTGGTACATGAAGTTTACATCATAAAGTAAGGTCTCTACTTTAGACAGCACATGAAGTCAATACAGAACAACAAAACACCTTTATGTCATTTTTGCCTAAATATCCTCAACACTCAAGTGTTCTTTAGAATTTGGTCAGAGATCCACCATCCCAGGTATATAAATTCTCTTCTGAATCATGGGGTCCTCAGAAGCCAAATTTCTTTTACACTCTCCATTCCAATCAGATTTGAATGTAGATGAACTCAAGAAAAAGAGAACTCTTATAAAACTATGATCATTGATCATATGTCCTTCCTTCATGCTTCAAACTTCTTTAGTCTTTGTTTTTCTGTTTCTGGATTTCTATTTCAACCTCCATCCACATGTAGAAATGAATTAAAAAAACCTTGATTTTTCTAAGGCTTCAGTCAACCCATTGTCCTCAAGTATTTCCATTTGAATAGAGGTCACTTGTGTTCATGGTTCACCATTATTCCTTGTCTGGAAGTAAAACCATCCCCAAAAATATATGTCTGCCTCCACACTTGCCACATCATTAAATGGTAGAGCAATGTCATAATATCAAGCAGAGTTCATAGGCTGTATGTTGACAAGCTCCCTTAATATGTCACATCAAATCACTACAGTTAAATGTTGTTTAAAACAGAGTAATGCAAGGATTATTATTATTATTATTTTTAGAGATAGCTGAAGTTCACCAGTGGAATAATTTCCAAGAGAACTGTATTATCAGATTTCCTTGTGTTGTGATTTCGCTATGGTTACAAGAACAATTTTATGCAAAGGCAGAAGTATAAAAATAGGTTTGTTATGTTTAAATGGAAGGAAAAAAAGCTTTTTGCTTTCAGGAAACTTTTGGGCCCTTTGCTTATATCATTCATTTAAATTCATATTCAATTTTAAATAATATCCAAGTATACAGAAAATATATTTTGCACTACAGGTATCTTTTATATAATTAACAGTGCAATCACATGGAAGTAAGAGGAGATAAATTCCCTTGTTTCCTATAAGAGAAAATAAATGACCAGAAATTATATCAGACATGAACAAAACCTCTCCATCTTTGTCATGCATCTTCCCATATTCTCAAAAGCCTGGGTATTGATTTGCAACATACCCCAATGGTCAACAGTTTCAGGATAATAGAGGACTAACGTGGATAATTCGGAGGTCCTTTATGGAAAACACCTTGGAGACAATTTGCTGTAATTGATATTGAGACTATTTCAGCTCAAGCACTTCTGGGCTGATGTCTGTAAATGTTGTAGTTATATTCAATTGTCATTGCAATTCCTAATTGCTCCTAGACTTAAAATAGATATGTACTAAAAGCAGATAGATGGACCAAATGTCTATTCTCATATACTAAATCATATGGGCCTAACTCTGCAGTCCCTGTACACCTGCAGTTTCCATTGATCAATAGGAGTTTTACTAGAAGAAGCTTTGCAGGCTGGGAGCATTTGTTCCCACAGAGAATATTAACATAATACACATACTAATATATTGTCTCATATTGTACATCCATCTAAACTTGGCTTCAAATTTACTTTAAAAATTAGTAAGATAAAAGGGAAATGTAGTTTAACAGGGCCTGAAAATCAGTAGTTTCGAACAGAATGATATAATTATGAAAGAATATTGTGATATACTTATAAAACCTGACTGCATACTAATGTGAATCACTATTTTGATTATAGTACATCAGTAGAAGTTCGATACTAGTGGACAATATTACACTTACCTCCCCAGTGCTCATCACAAACTGTGAATAAGGTGGTTTTGTTGGCAAGTCCTGGGAAAACACTGCTGCACTCCATAACAATAGCCTGAGGAATCATTATAATGCAGGACACAATCCAGATAATTATAATGCTGTTCCTTGCCCGTTTGGCTGTACTTTTAAACATCAAAGGATGACAAATCGCATACCATCGATCCAAAGCAATGCAGCTTAGAGTGAGTACAGACACAGATACTGAAACAGTCTAAGAAAAAGAAAAATATTATGTAGACATTCCTGATATTTAACTTTAGACATGATTTATATTTTAACACAGTCAGAAATCTATTTACAGTGATATATTGTGGACTAGAGATATTAAATAGTATTTAATGAAAAATTAAATACCCTTTTATATCACTTCTTACAAAAAAAATATAATCCTGTCTCTATCTGCCTTTCTCATTCTGAATAATACTTTAAGTTATGTATAGTTCCACCTGACTTGATAGAATAATTCAAAATTGTCACAGGATAATTCAATATACTTAAGTAAGTGTAGATGATTCAGGTCCTGTAAAACAGTAAAAGCAGCTATCTTACATTTTGCAAAATAGTACTTGCAAGGGTACACTGTTTGAGATATTACATGAATGGCTATATCTAATAAAGAGCTTGAACCCCTAAGAGCTAGGTGCTACCACCTAACTTTTAGGCACATAGAATATAATCCAAAATCCTCCATTAGGGATGTAGGTATACTGTGCCTGGAGTGAGTTAGGCATCTCAGAACAGGGAGAAAAAAGCCTACACTACTGTGAGAAATTAAAATAGGAAATAATGTGCCAGATGCTATTCTGCCTATTAGATGTCTAAGTGATCATATGTGCTCAGTCAGGGGTTGTCAGGGGGTACGTGAGAAGGCTGTAGCAGGTATGTGTGGACAGGCAGGGATGGAGTGCCACCATGCACGATGTTGTACTGCTGCGCAGGCACCACCTGCCCAGCCAGATGTGGGGGGTGAGAGAAGCCTGCACACGGCAGCTACTGCTACTCCATATTTGGCTGTGCCCCACCCCTTCACCCCCCACTTCACATTCGACCATTCACCGCCCCCCCCGCTCCATGTCCAGCCACGCACCCTTCCCTTCCACTCCCTCCCCACGCTCTGCGTTGGGCCGCCAGGGGTAGACTGCTCCATGTCCGGCCGCTGGGAAACACTAACCCAAAAAGGTTGAAAAGCGCTGTGCTAAGTGATCATCTAAGTGATGTCTGAGTGATCATCATACGATTTGATTCCACCTACTTAAAGTCCCTGAACACAAAGGGATATCATTTAACACAAAGTGGATGAGCCTCTCCTGCTTGCTGCTTTTTGTGACTTAGTCATTAAGGCTAAGATGAAGGCATGTTACAAAAGTGGATGTGTTAACTGTTTTTATGAACTTTGCGCACCTGACTCAGAACTGAAAGTAGGCTTCCATTGACTCAGTATCCACAGTTCAGAATACTCTCCAAGGATAAGTAATCCAATAGGATTTTTAAAGAATTGGATAGGGTCTTTTTTTCTTTTAGAGTGGTTGTGATGGTACTGTTGCTACATCTTTCATATAATTGCCAAGTGTCTGTACAGCACTCACCCACAAAGTGGAAGATCTAGTTCAAATCCAGGGTTTAACGCCCCATTTTCCACATAGGAGGAGATCTTAGTCACTATGCTAGGGTGAATGAATGGAACGCACTGCATCCCTCATATTGAAGGGCTTGTGCAGGAAAGAATCCAAGAGGGATGATGACAGAGATAGAGAACAAAATGAAACTTGACTCTGTAGCCCCTTAGTCTGGGTACCCACTCAATAGTGAGTAAGTTCTGGTCCCTGCTCAAAGTATTGTTTCTGTATTTGTCCTCAGCAGACACTGAAGAAAAGACATTGGATATGTTTTTTGTTTGTTTGTTTGTTTGTTTCTTTGATGTGCCAGCAACCTGCATCATTACTTTGTTTTTTCAGTTAAAGAAAAAAAATCACTGTTCCACGGACATTCAATGGGGATGTCTACATGTGATGCTACATAGCCATAGCAACATGCTATGGCAACATAGCATTCACAGGTGTCTACACATGACCGGCAGCTACTTCACCATAGTGACATGCTCACCAAAGTAGCTGCTAAAAATAACCATGCAACATGCGTATGGTTTAGTATGGGCTGTTACTGCGCTGTGATTTAGTTCTTCCAAAAGGTAGTACTAAATCACAGTGCAGTAACAATGTTGCCATAGCAACACATGTAGATGCACCCAACATGAAGAAGTTAATTAGATAAGTTTATTCTTCTACCTGCTACAGAAAATAAACTACCACTGACTTATTTTCTTGTATTCAAAACAATGCTTGATAGTTTCACAAACTTTTCACATTCAGTGAGGTCCAAGGGTATGCAGATGGTGAAAGTATAAAAAAAACCCACTGTAGCAGAATGGGGGCTCTGGAACAAGTTGGGCAGTTCTGATTCCATACAATAAAGGGCTGTAGTGCACAACTTTCATTGCCACCTGATGATTGTTCTGCTTGACCATGGCTCTGCAACTTTAACAATGCAGTTTCCTTACATGTGTTTTGTGTACATGAGACCTGTATTGACCTCAGTTAAAGCAGCAAAGGTACAATTTGAAAGTGATTCGTTTGGATCTATACCCATGAAGGGACTAAAAGATGTATTATTGTGGAATCTGCAGAAATCAATGTAGTCTGATAAGTTAGGTAATACATATTTATTAATATTTACTAGTTTGACATAGTTTTACTTCAATTTTTTTAATAATTTATGTACCCTAATGGTAATAACTGATGTTTAGTTGGGACAGTATGAATAACTTCTACAGTAGAAGGACAGTTTTAACTCTTTCTAATAGTGCTTAGTAAGTATTAAATTCATATGAAATTCTGAGTCCACTCTAACTACAAAAGGCCTTGAGAATTCATTAACTGTAGTACAAAGTGGATGCATAATAAACCACTTTGCACTGGAAAAATGAGTGTCCTATGAAGATCATCAGAGAATTTGCTCTGTAGGTATATTGCTAAATAAAGGTGGGAATTAAACTGCATTGCAAATTCAGCAAAGTATTTTATTGGATTTATTTAATACCTATTTAGACATTTACAAGTGGAACATTCATTTATTACCTGATAGCAGCCCTTTTATCAGGGCATACTAGTTAAGCAGATTCTACTGTATTGTTCCTTTTAGCAACAATCAAGTACATACAAAATGTAGAGAACAATACCTGTAAATAAGGGATCACCTTGCAGAGAGTCTGCCCAAAGAACCACGTTTCTGTAATGTCCACCACTAAAGTGGCTGGAAGACAAGTGATTGTGACAAGAACATCAGCCAGTGAGAGGTTGACTATGAAATAGTTGGTAACTGTCCGCATGTGATGGTTCTTCCACACTGCAACACAAACTGAATTTGTAAAGAAAAGTTAATTCATTTGAAATAAATAGAAGGAATACTCCAATAGGAGTATACTTTGCAGGGGTGATTATTAATAGTAGGTATAGGAATCCTTTTTTAAACCTACATGCAATATAATGTAGGAGTTGTTAATTTTCATTTATAATGAATAACATAGTTACCTGTAGAAGCATCTAAAACCAAGGTGGAACCAATACCTACATCAGTCCTCTAAGAACTAAGATTTGAGAAATGTTGGTTGAAATGTAAATAAGTATACTTATCGGATGTTACTATTATTATTACATATTTAAAATATTTTCCCATGTGTCCATTTTAAAAACATTTCTTTATTCTACAAGAATTCCAGAAAAATAGACAAATTATTAAAGGTTTGTTTCATATTCACATCCAGTATCTTGGTGTTGAATTAAAATTGCTACTGGAAAAAAAGTTTTGGACCAACCAAAGATTGTTCCACTACAAAATGGACAATTTTAATTGTGTTTCAGAATACGTGGTGGTTTTACTCCAGTACTATACAAAACATCTGAAATAGGTATGCCAACAAAACATATACGCAGTTTTCTTTCTATTTTTCTTTGCATTATGAAGCACAACCCATTATCAACATGGTATGTTTCTGATGATCATCCATTTGGAGAAAGCATATAAGTATACAAGAAAAGAATGAGGATTCAAAAATTCTTTTTTCCCCCTTGCCTACCCTGACCCCAACTTGAAAGGTTTCAGAAACCAGGAAAATCACTCCTCAAGTATGTCTGAATACTGTAAAAGAAACTAACGTAAAAAAAAAAAATCTGAAGGGGAAAAAAACCAAAGAGCTCTCTGTGACACTTCTATCATGAGCTTTGTTGACATAAAAGAAATGTTATAAAAATATACCACCATTGCTGACCATTTCAATTTTACTGTTTAATACTGGAAGTTTGTATAAAAGGCTGTGAGTTTGTTACTTTATTTTGTTCTTTGCCTTAAAAGCAATCCAGATAGGAAGTATACAGTTGCCTCTTGTCTGTTGACAAAGGTGGAATATTCAACGGAGGCAATTTTTTCACTACTTGTTATTTGTTAGCAGAAAATAAATGTAAAATAAAAATAATGTGGTAAAATGAAGAGTTTAGTTACACTGTTCTTGCTAGGAGATTTCTAATAATTCCACATTCTTCACTTAAGTGATTATGCTTAAATCCGCCTGTATTCAACCATGTTTATGCTTTTTCGAAAAAAGGGATCTTAGTCCATTTCTAGATGACACTTTTTAGTGGGTTTAAAGCGGATTAAATGCCTTTTGCATTTGGCATTGCTTTAATGGCATTGCTGTTTGCACATTTGGCAGTGTATTGTGCATTAATTCCAGACGCTATAGCACATTTGGCAGCATAATCCATCTTAAATGACTTTGGGACACAGCAAATGACTCTGGGGTGCTGCAAAGTAAAACACCTCCAAGGAGCTTTAGTTTCCTACCCTACAGCTGAGGAGGGAAGCGCCAGTCTCTGTGCAACTCAGGGGCTATGCAGGCAAGCCATGCAGGAAGACCAGCAACAGCCCAGGAAGGCAGGCTCCACAGAAGCGGGGCGGGGAAAAAGGGGCAAGCCTGATCTTTTTTCTTTCCCCCAGAGCCTGCCTGCCTGAGCTGTATAGGGGCCTGGTACTTCCCTCCATGGCTGTGATGCCCCCTGGGATTGCCCAAGCTGGGTGCCTGTGGGTGGGTGCTGCCTGAGGGGGCCACCACTGCTATGGAGGGAAGCACCACTCCCCACCCCTGCTGCTCAGGGACCACTCTGCCCACCAGCAGCTTGCTCTCCCCTCCCTGCCACTGGAGAGGCAAATAAGGATAGGGCTTCAACATGGGTATACATGACACAGGGGTTTACTTAGCTGTAAATTCAAGTGGTGTTTTTAAAAAAATTCCACTGCTTCAGTTTAGGGAGAATTAAATCCCTGTGTTGTGTACACATGCCCTTAATCCTGTTATGTCAAGGAGAAAGGTACTTGGCTGTAATCATTGCTTTTGGTAATGCATTACCAAATCAGGAGAACTTCTACAGAACAACACAAACAGGATCAAGCTTGATGGTTACAACAGTAACACAAGTGAATGCATTGCATTTCATATGCTATATTCAGACCTTTATGTCAACATGAACAAATTAATCCTCATAACATCCCTGGGAGGTAAGTAAATATTATCATCTTCATTTTGTGTGTGAGGCAAGTGAAGCATTGAACATAAGTTGCCCAAGGCAATACAGCTTATCAAGACAATGAAGGGAGTTGGATTACCTTGGTTCTCAACTAATGCTTCCAAACTACACTGACTTATTAGGAAAAAGAAAAACTCTCTGGAAGCATACGATATGAACCACAATAATTGCTCTGCCCTTGTTCATGCCCTGAGTGAATAACTAAGAGTTCCCTTACAATCACATTATAGGGGCATGAAACAGCCAGGAAATGGGGGAAATTATCATTTAAAAGTTCAAACCTTTTGCCAAATTATTTATTCTCATTTATTTTGTCCAAAATCTTAAACACTAATTCTTGGGGAATAACTTTCTATCCTATGTTTGAATGTTGTCTAGCACAATAGGACTTCTACTAATGGTTTCAGGCACTACCTTAATAATTAATGAGGTTCCTACTGACATGACTTTCTAAATTAGGGAAACAATTATGGGACACAGGAAGCTGTTATGAAATGCCTCTGGAAAAAAGGCTGTACACAAAGTTGGTGCATCTTTGCTTCCAAGTAGGGCCCTATCCTTGTTGACATGCCATTCCTGAGCTGAGGGGGTGATAGGGGTAGGCCCTGTGTGCTCCCCAGCAGACCCAGAAGTACTTCTGGTCCACTTCCAGGTTCTCCGCCAAGCATGTGGAGGGCCCCCCCGCACTCCTGTGGGACGCCCATGTGCCCCAGGATTGCAGCATTCATGAGCCATGCCTGCTACCTCAAGGCATGTAGAAAAAACTTTTAAAGCTGTGTCTATGTCCAAATTGCTGATTCTCTGAATCAGCATCGAATCTTCAGAACTGGATTTGTTCAATCAATTAATTGAATCGCTGTCCCTGATTCAGGCCAAATCTGAATTGAATAGGGCCCTCTTCCCACACCCCAACTACGCAGCATCCCTAGAGACCTAGAGGAAGAGGGATCTCTGGGTTCTAGGTCAAACGGGAAGAGATTTAGAAGACCAAAACTCCTATAGTATGAAGGTAAAAGATATATGGAACTTATAAAACATGGAAAGTTGCATGTTATGAACACCAGCTAGGCAACATGCAACAGTCCAAGTTTAACAAACTTCTTTGATTCTTGGCTGACAATTCTTGAATGTGATTAAATTTTATAAAAAAGGCCTAGACATGCCCCAAATATAAAAGAGGGAAGAAGGGAGATTTGTAATGACAGAGTAAAAAAAATATGTGAGAGAAGGCAAAAAGAAAAGGGAGAAAAAGGAGAATTATTTTTGCTGTTACAAGCCTCAACTCATATCTCATGGTTCATCCATGACCTCTGTAATCCTCGATGAAATTTTAGTTTTGAGTTTACCAAAAAAAAATTGCACTTGAACTCCTTAATGGTAAATGCAAATATGCATTGTGGGAAACCTCTTTGTTTTTACACCATCTATTTTCTCATTCATAATTAAATATCGTAGTCAGACAACATATGCCTTCTGCTAATATAAAGAAATTGCTAAACATGAAACCTTGATCTTACAATTAGCAAACAGAGGAAATAAAAAGAACTTGATTAAAAGTGGCTGCTATTCTTACTTTTGCCACATAGTGTCAGTGAAAGCTCAAAAATTAAAATGAGTTATGCTGTATGTGTTTAGAAGGCTGCATTGTAATACTATCAAATGGCTCGTATGAGACTTATTTCTACAAAGTTTATCACAGAGTTTAATGATTATATTGGGTATCACAGTTATTAATTTACATAGAATGCAAAATTTGAACTTTATTCTAGGGGAGCACAATGGAAGGGAAAGTATGACTTGTGGGGAGGAAGTATGCAAGTTTCCCAGAAAACATTTTTCAACACAGAAAAAAGTTTACATGGAACTCTCATGAGGGATTTGACTTGTATTGACAAAAGCACAGTGAATTCACACCAAAGATTACATATAAAGACAATACTGCATGAAGTCCTCATTACAGAATCATATGGTTGGAAGAGACCTTAAGGGTCATCTTGTGGAATCTCTTGCATGAAGGAAGGAATGCTACTCCTAAATCATCCCTGTCCCACACTTATCCAGCCTCCTTTTGAGAACCTCCAATGAAGGAGATTCCATAAGTTCCCCAGGCAGTTTATTCCACTGTCTTATTGCCTCACAGAGAGGAAATTTCCTTATATCTAATTTAAATGTACTTTGTTGATGTTTAAAGCCATGTTTGGTATCTTTTGTATCAAGACTAGTTTTTTTCTCTATTGCAACCTTTCAGATATTTGGCCTTCTATTGTGTCCAACCTAATTGCCTTTGCTCCAAGATGAAAATGCCTAGTTTTGTTAGTTGCTGGGTTTTGGTCGTAGCTGCGTTGGCCTTTTTTGGGTAGATGTGATCGCTTTTATGAGACCAACTGAGTAGTTGGAAAAAAAGTTGTTTGCAAGCTTTTGGGCAGTCACCCTTCTTCAGCCTTCCTTATCATTTTGCTGCCCACCTCTGGACCCTCTCTACCTTCTCCGTACCCTTCTTAAAATGTGAAACTCAGAACTCCACAGGATACTCTAGATGAGGCCAATCAGTGCCTAGTAGAGTTAGACACTTATCTCCTGTGCCTAACACCTAATAATACTGTTGATGCAGCCCAAAATTGCATTTACTTTTTTTCTTGCAATTGCGTCACATTGCTGACTGACTTGTTTAAGTAAAGAAAGTTTCAGATATCTCATTATGTTCCATTAAAAAAAACTCAGATGTGACAGAAAAGATCAGTGCTGTTCATGAATAAATGTGCTTCCAGTTATTTTAAT